GGCACCCTGAATTCACACTGCAAGTCTCTAGAACTGAGACAAGACATGCATTTCTGTGTGGTGTTTGTTTTATAGCCGCCTTGAGAAACTAACACAGCATCTGAGTCTATAACTCCTGGCCTCCCCTTCCAGGAAGTGTTTCTTTCCTCTTGTTTTCTTGCTTTAGGGATCCAATGCCTTTCTTTCTGGTCTTGCAGGCAGGGTTGGATCTTAGGCTTGGCCCTGGCCACCCACAATCTTTGAGCAGCACAAATACTGGGTGCTTTCTCCAGAGATCTCAAAGTGTTGCTAATGAGCACAAGCTCATTAAAATCCTACAGTAGCCTTTGTGATCACAACCATTTTACAGACAAGAAAATTGAAGCTCAGGAGAACAGGGTGTGACCTCGTTCTCAGAAGTCAGACCTCTACCTCCAGACTTTGGATTCAGTCATTTGTTTGTTCAAATAAGGCATGCATCAAGCACCCACTAGGTGCCAGGCCCTAGTCTACGGGGTTGGGGACACAGCAGAGAAGAATGCAGATTAAACTCTGACCCTCTTGGAGGTTATGCATAGGGGGTGGAGGGATGTAATATAAACCACAATCAATGAAATAGGTGCTAACTTAAGAAGGTGGGAAGTGCTGTCTACAGAAGGAAAGTGGGAAGGAGGAGAAACTGGCTGAAGGTGCTGTATGTAGTGACAACAGCAGGCTTTGGGGGGAAAGTCACAGTGAGTACAGCCTCAAAGGATGTGAGGAGCTAGCCACGTGGACTTGGCCAGGGAGGGGCCCTCCTAAGCAGCTGAAGCACCCTCAGAGGTGCAGTCAGGGAGATGCCTGGTTTGGTGGGAGAATAGCAAGGACACTAACTATCCTCAGTCCTGCTGCCTCCCTCCCAAGATCACCTGTTGCTTGTTAGCCACTCTGGGGACAGTTTCGTGGGGATCTGAGTTTTCTTCAAGATCATGATGCAGAATTTTTGAGATCAGTGTTGGGGGCTCCAACAAGTCTCTACTGATCCCACTTTGGAGCTACAAGCAACAGAATTAACTAGAGGGACGGGGTTGTGAAGAAACCCACCGAGTTTTCTAGAAATACTTTTTGTTTCTGTTGGGTATTTTCCCTATCAGACCACCTTATGAGGGGCCCATTGTATGAGTCACATTAAATAGGCCTTGGGAGGCAAACCAATGGGAAGCTGGGTAGGTGAAACAACAGAAGAAAAAAGGTTACCAGAGAAAAGTCTAAGAAGGGTGGGAAGGAGTGCAAAGGATCAGCTCTGCTCCTTTGTGGGGGTGTGGGAGGGGGGAGAGTTAGCAGAGTGGCAACAGGTCAGGCAGGTATATAAAGTTCAGGCTTGACAGGATGGATCTACTGACCAAAATAAAATGGAGTTGTTTTAGTCATTAAGTCTCAAAGGAGAACCCTGCAGATGAAGACGTTTATAAATGAGCTAAGATGACCTTATGGTCCTAGAAGGACAACAGGACAAGGAGAATGTTGTTGTTGTTAAGTGCCATTGAGTCGATTCCGACCCATAGCGATCCTTTATAGGGTTTCCAAAGAGTAGCTGGTGAGCTTGAACCGCTGACTGTGAGGTTCAAAGCAACTTTGCAGTCCAGCACATTAACAAACCCACAAGGCCACAGAGGAATGCTTAACCCCAACCCCCCACCCCAACCCCCCACCCCCAGACAGTTATCTCAGGAATTAAGCAGCTGAGACCCTAAAGGTAAAATGTTTGAGGAAGTTTATTTATTTATTGCTTCCTTTTCCCAAAGAATGCTATCTTGATGTTAAGATAGATTAAGTGTACATCCAAATGTAATTTACCCTATATAATGTGCCTGCTCTTCGTAATGAACAGGACGGTTTTGAGAGATTATTCTCTCCATCCTGCAGTCTGCTGGCTTTCTGTTAATAAAGCTTGAATCGGCTCTCTCCCCATCTCTGTGACTGACTACAGTGACAGGCAGCAGACCCTCGTTTTGGTTTGGTAACAGGTTCACTGATGTTGCAGCTTGTCCACCCATCTACTGTCACATGGGCCCTAACCCCTGGGATCTGGAAAACTGACCTTAGTTGGAAAGAGTCTTTGAAAATGTTGTTACTTAAACTAACATGATGTCATACTGGAGTCGAGCAGAGCCTAATCTAATCTGAGTGGTGTCCATATAAAAGAGGACAAGAGACCCAAAGAGGCAGACAGAGGGGAAACAGCCATGTGACAATGGAGTTATGCTGCAGCTACAAGCCAGCAAACTCCTGGGCTGCCAGAAGCCAGGAGAAACAAAAAGGATCTTCCCTAGAGCCTTTGAAGAGAACATGGACCGACCGGCACCCTGAATTCAGACTGCAAGTCTCCAGAACTGAGACAAGACACATGCATTTCTGTGTGGTGTTTGTGTTATACCCGCCCTGAGAAACTAACACAGCATCTGAGTCTATAACTTCTGGCCTCCCCTTCCAGGAAGTGTTTCTTTCCATTGTATATCAGTTATATTTTTTATAGGTCTGTTTACACCATTAGACCCTGGTCTCTACCTTTGGACCCCTGTGCCTAGCATGCTGACAGGCAAAGTGGCACTCCACCAATGCATGTGGAATGAATACAGAAAGAGTGGCCAAAAGTGTGACTCTTCAATGTTCATGGAGTTGAGGATGGGGCTTATTATCTAGACTCATTAGTTATCACCAATTCCTGGGTCAGGGTGACAAGAAGAGAAAGAAAATTAGGTTCTTTATGCAGACCCCACCCCATCCCAAGCTCTGCTGTCTCGACAACCTTATTAAAATGTAAGAGGCTCTGTCTGGCAAGAAGGAAGTATAAGTCAAGTTAGAATATAAACCTGCTACCCAGAGCCTTGCTTATGATCCACCGTGTGATGAAGTAATGCACACGATTGCAAAGTCCTTTCCGATGCCTGGATGAAAGGTTCCAGCTAATTGCTGGGCATTTTTATTCAAGTGTGGGCAATTGGCTAAGTCTAGAGAAACACACCAAGCCCTGGGCACCCAGTATAATTTAGTGGGTGGTGGCTGCTTCTCCTTTACCACCTCTTATTGAAGCCTCAGGATTGGTAGATGCTTTTGGCAGGAGAAAGGACTGAGTGGACCAAAGATCTAATCTCCCTTGGCATACTCCGTGGGTGTGAACACCTCAGGGCCACTCCACCCTGGACAAACAGACCACAGAGGCCTCTGCATCAAGTCCCTGCCCCCTTTCTAGTAAAGGCACCAGGGTGTAGTGGAATTTAAAGCCAGATGGCCAGACCATGTGTCCTTGAGCAAATAACTTAGGCTCTCTTACTCTCTGCCCCAGTTTCTTCATCTGTAATAATGCTGTGAGAATGAAAGAAACAACTTAATTTTAGAAGAAGTATTTAGCACTATCCCTGGCAAATAGTAAGCATGCAATAACTGGTGTGGTGCTCTAGGATAAACACTGGACCGTAAGGTCAGTTTGAACCTCAAGGTTGGCAGTTCAAACTCAATAGCCACTCCTCTATGAAAGGTCACTATGAGGAGCTCTGGTAGCGTAGTGGTTACGAATCAGGCC